TATTGTGCTGTTATATTGCCGATATCGATCTACCTCCTGATATCTTACCAATATTATGCCAATATGCTACTGTTATTTAGCAGTTATTTGGCAGATCTATGGCAGACTATCGGGTACATAACAGGAAACTTGTCTCCCGCTATGCACCCGATATTCATTGATTTAACCTGTGATACATGGTATGCCCTCACCTGGACGTCATTGTAATAAAATTACTATGCCAGTTGTGTTTCTTCCAACGAGTTTTAGTTACGCTTCAGTATATCGGGACTATGTACAAGCTTATAAAGATAAGCATGGAAAAGATGTTCATGTTTTAGCTGAATTAACTTTTACTAATATCTGGAAATTTTTAATGCCATCACTTCAATTTATGTTTGCGAAAACTGATTTATGTGAAACTTGTAAGACAATGAAAATGGAAATTCAATATGCTACACAACACGAAAAAAAATTAGAACTTACTCATAATTATCTAGCTCATTTAAATCGTGCACAAAAAGAATGTAACTATTATAATGCTAACATTATGAATGCAATTGAGGATAGTAAGCAGAATCCAAATATAACTAAGTCTCATATATTATTCAAAACCTTCAATGGTAGTGCTCATATTGCATACGATTGGGCCCAAAACGTACAAGTACCCTTCTCGCCGCAACAAATTGGATCTTTGTATTTTAAAAGTTCGCGAAAAGTACATTTATTTGGTGTTTGCAACACCGGTAATTTTCCACATACACAACAAACTAATTATATAATCGATGAGGCTGAAATGCCCGATGATGGTAAACAAGGTAAAGGTGTGAATTGCACCCTAAGTTTGGTTTGGCATGCACTTCAAAAATATAACCGTGGTGAAAAAAATTAGTTATTACATGTGACAACTGTGTAGGTCAGAATAAGAATAACTATTCATTATTTTTTTATTCATGGTTGATTGATTGTAATATGTATGATGAAATTGAGTTAAATTTTATGATACCCAGCCACACAAAGTTTATTTGTGATGGATGTTTTTGTCTAATCAAGATTTTATACCGAAAAAGCAAAGTAAATACCATTGATTATGTGGTCTCAATTGTTAATCGTTCGACTAGGATTAATTTCAATATTGCTCAATGCTATTTTAATGGAAAAGGTTTTCAGTATTATGATTTTAAAAATTACTTTCAAACATTTAAAAAACTACCAAATATTCAAAAGTATCATCATTTTTATTTCAGTTCACAATATCCTGGCATCGTCTTTCATAAAGATGATCTTAAAGACAATTATAATGATTTTATTATTCGTTCTTTTTCTTTCAATGCCAATACCTTACCCGCCATAATTGGTGTCAGACCACTTTCTTTAAAGAGACAAGAGGAATTGCATAAGGAAATCGCACTTTATGTCGATTTACCTTTTTGTGATATTACTTGTCCTAAACCCTAAAAATTTAAAATAAAATAATTAGAAAGTTTATTTATAACGATAACAATAGCTCCATTAGTTTGTATAAACAAACTTGGTTTATTATAAAATTAGCATAGAAAATGAATTCAGTTTATATCAAATCGACATAATATGAGTTCAATTTGTGTTTAGTTTAGTAATAATCAACTTCAATAAAAATTGAAATCTGAAGTCGACTAAATTTAATTTGTTTAAACTGAAAATTCGCAAGAAAAATTAAGTAGTTGGCAGTGAAACTTTTTATAAAAAAAAATAAATAACGATAATAAATACTGCAAATAAATAAATAAATAAATAATAAAAACCGTGGAGCAATAATGAGGTAATAGCGCAGTAATACAGTAACGATGAACAAAATTAAAAATCATGATAAAAAATCGGGTATGCATTTATCAAAAAAATACAGTAAATATTAATAAGTGAAGACGCGAAGACCAATAACTTTTATACCTCAACATATTGTAGACAATATAAATCAACAAAAAAAAAAAAAATTTCTTCGAGAATTATATAATTATTACCGTTATAAGGGCCGAAAGTTGAGAAATCGGTTCTGATCACATGACAATTTTAAATTGCGATTTTCACAAAATCAGATGATCGTCCCACTGCCCTTTTTGCTGTGGGGGATCCCATATGTTAATATTTATTTGTGTATTTAAGTTAATAATTAGTTAGGTTATAGGAAATTATTAGGTGAACTTCGGGACAAAGTTCATTGGGGATCTATCTCCTGTCGTAGTGACGACCAACACCCCTTGTGTTGATAGTGCTAGGGCTAGGTACGATCATGGGTTACCCGATCGGGACTGGGTAACGCATGAATTTAATTTATAGTCTATTTGTAAGTATTGCATAATGTGTGTAACTAGGTAATCAAATATCCGGATTGATAATCTAAATAAAAGAGTATCAATTCCTTTGGAATCGATAACAAGTTTCTTTGCGATAAATAACTCTCTTAGTGAATACACGACTTAGTATATACAGTAGTGTAGGTGACAGTGCCTAGTATGATACGCCAGTGCACAAAGCGAGTACTCTGACTAAGTGAATCGAGCTTGAAACCCCTATAAGTGCAAATGTATACGACAGTATTGGCTATATTTTCCGAGCCTAGACCAGTTCCCATGCTCACAAAGTTCATATACAAGATCCTCCATATATCAGACCCACCCTCGTTTTTTACTAATCATTTTTTTTTTTTTGCAGAATGCGACAAAACCAGGTTATTAACACTATTCCGATAATGATTCTAATAATTATATTCAATAATAATTCTATATCAATAATTATTCTATTCCAATAATACTACCAATACTAAAAAAAATTAATTGTATCAAATAAAAACCTTTACCCATGAATTATTCTTTAAAACAACATCATTAACAGATATATTATTACACATTTAATCGAATAAGTGAAATTTAGAAGAATTTTTAGCAATTTATGATAATGACGCATGAAGAAATAATTTCATTATCGTACGAGTTTATCACATAAAGATTATTATGAAATTCATAATAAGGTTGATAACAAATATTAAGTAATTATAGCCCCGAATAATACCTATTCAAAAATACAATTTATTTAATAAAGGAGCTATAGTTAACTAATATTTATCAGCTCTCTATTCTATTTTTTAGTGGTATGGCTTGAGGTGAGATTGACACATAAGAATATTATCTCAAAATTGAGAATATTCTTGCTTTGAAATATGTTTCTTATATTAATAATCTGAGAGGATATTATTGAAGTAAACCTAATATAATTTTTTTTACGAGAACATTTTTAAGTTCGATTTTTTAAAATAGTTCTTATGAGAAAAATTAAATCAATTAGATTTATAATACTGGTCCGTGTTGTATTACCAAGTACTTAATTCAAATTTTATGTCAAGTTGATCAACCAGCGAAAAATTTAGAGATTGAAAATTTTGTGATGCCTAAATAATCGGTCACTTAATATTAAAACGTTTAAAAACAAATAATGAAAATTTTGTCCTCCGCATATAGAAATGGTCAAATAGCTTTTTAGCAATAATATTTACAAGGTATCTATATTATTACGTGCTAAGGTATTAAAGAAGCCTTCAATAATAGACTTTTATATGATACCACACTTGATTTACTTAGTTAATTGAATGCCCATATAATATATTATTATTACAGATACAGAGCTTACTGGAAAAACTACAAATCTCTATAATTTTAAACATAAAAAAATATTAATAAAATAGTACTAATTCCCAAATATTACGGATTTTTCTACAAATTTAACGATTGACAATTTGTTAAATTCGATATATGAATTTAGGCTTCGAAAAATTTAAATTGAACACAGGTAAATTTTTCACCAAGAGATTCTGCTAATGTTTTTTCTTCCTCCGAATCGATTTGATTGAGGCCAAGATTCAAATAAGTCGGAATAGTGTTCTTGCATAAAGCCCCACTAATGCTTTTCCTTCCTTATAACCCAGTTGATTTTGAAAAAGATTCAAAAAAGTCAAAGTAGTACTCTTACAAAGAGCCCTAGCTAACGCTTTCCCTTCTTCAAAGCCTACAGAATTAGTACAAAGAGTTAATGAAGCAAGAGTAGTATTCTTGCATAATGCCTTTGCTAACATTTTCGCTCCTTTAGAGCCAAGTTGATTATGTGTAAGATCTAAAGAAGTCAGAGTAGCATTATTATAAAAAGCCTCTGCTAATGTTTTCCCACCTTCAGAACCAAGTCAACAATAGCCAAGATCCAATGTAGTATTCTTGCATAAAGCATCTGCTAGTTTTTCGGCTTCATTAAAACCAATATTATTTAAACAAAGAGTTAGAGAAATCAGGGTTACATTTATACATAGCGCATCTGCTAACGCTCTTATTCCTTCTGGACTAAGTTTATTATAGCAAACATTTAAAGAATTCAGTGTAGTATTCTTGTTAAGTGCAATTGCAAATTCTTTCCCTCCTTCAGAACCAAGATGATTATGGCCAAGATTTAATGAAGTCAAAGTAGTATTCTTCTATAAAGCTTCTGCTAACGCTTTTCCTCCTTTAGAATCAATTTGATTCTCCCCAAGAGTTAATGAAGTCAGAGTAGCATTCATACAAAGAGCTTTTGCTAATGCTTTTATTCCTTCAAAACAAATTTGATTATAGTTAAGATTCGAAGAAGTAAGAACAATATTCTTGCATAAAGTCTCTGATAGTACTTTTACTCTTTTAGAACCAAGTTTATTACAGCCAATATGTAAAGAAGTCAGAGTAGTATTTTTACAAAGAGCATCAGCTAATGTTATTCATCCTTCAGGACCAATTAGATTAAAACCAAGGTTCAGAGAAGTTAGAGTAGTGCTCTTGCATAAAGCTTTTGCTAACGCTTTTCCCCCTTCAGAATCGATATGATTATTATCAAGATCTAATGAAACAAGGGTAGTGTTTTTACAAAGAACCTCTGCTAATACTTTGCCTCTAAGTTTATTACGACCAAGCTTTAAAGAAATCAATGCAATATTTTTGCAAAGAGCTTCTGCTAGCGCTTTTTCTTCCTCGATACCACCGATAAGTAAAGAAGTCAGAGTAGTATTCTTACCAAGAATCTTCGCTAATGCCTCAAATTTAGAATCATCTTCAATAGAATATGACATAGATATAGCAGTAGTATTTTGATAAAGATTTTCAAATAACATTCTATTATAAATAATTTCGGCAAATTTTAAACATTTAAGTTTTTTGCTTATTTGTAAAAACATTGCAAGCAAAGAACACTTAATGGTGATAACTGACATATCACATCCTATAATTTTTTTCAATCTGTTTTATCTGAAGAAGATAATTTTCTATTCCCCTATGCATGGTAAAACTCGCATAATCAAATAAAGGTTTTTAATTAATTGGAAGAATAATTTTAAGAGGAATTAATAGTGCTTGTTCTTCGGCATTTAACATTAAAAGAAATATTTTTATAAGCCTTGTATCATTAAAATGGATTGTTGGTTCGCTTCATAATATTGGTACAGCTATTATATATCATTCACAGTTTACAAGAAGATATGAAAATAAACCTTTATAATCGGTTTGAAGGTTATCAAATATTTTAAATAAACATTCGGTTGGTAGTGATATCATTTTAAAAAAGACTAATTTTTGATATACTTATACAAAATATCCATAAATATAGCAAATATATGTAAAATGTTGTGAAATGTTTCAATTAGGATTAAATGTATAACTAAACAAGACTTGTGCCTGCTCATGTGCTGGGAGTTTTTTTTTTTTTTTTTTTTTTTTTTTTTTTTTTACTTCGGCTAAGTCTTGCCATGACCAAATATCCCTACTAACCATCCCTCTACAGGGGGCGACCACAAATCAAGTATTTCTACCATTATGAATACATTCAGAATAGGCCTGACCCTACCCAGTTGCCTATTCAGGTACCTAGGACTGACCGCCTGCACCATCCTTCGGAGAGTCAGATCACCTTATTATTGTACTGAACTTTCACCAGCCAATCCGGTGTCACCACGAGTTCTTATAGTATCTTTATCAGACTTGGTCTCACATTATGTCTCATGACTTCGGTTATTCTAAATCAGGGTTCTAACACATCTTGCTTCACAGCCACAACTTCTTGGAATAACTATTCTCTGAATACATCTATCTATAGATATCTCGGGTTCCCTGTACTCTGCAGTGTTTCACTTCTGTTTTTGAATTTTTCATTAATCCACTATTGGGAGAAATTGAACCGGCAACTATTAGATTTGCAACCTGGGAGCATAACCACTATGCTATCGACCCACAGGTTTTTTAAAAATATTTCTTGTTAAGGTTTATTGGTTGAAAAGAATGTACTTCTATAAATTTTCGTACAAATTAATCATATCAAGCATATTGAACATACATACAAACAAAAAATCAATAATACTGCTGTATTGAGTAAGTTTATTTGTAGAAACGTATGTTACATGTAATAAAAAATAAATT